GGCCGTCCCGGCTGCCTGTCCCCTGCCCTGGCCGGCGGGGCCGCGCTCCCCCCGGGCTCCGGCGCTGCCTTGGGCTCCCCCGCCCGGGGGGAGAGTGAGGGGCGCCGCCCGCGGCCCGGGCGCGGCGGGCTGGGGCGCGGGGGGCCGCAGCACCGAGGGTCGCTCAGCTGCTCGCCCTGCGGAGCGCGCCGCCCCACTCGCACCGGCGGAGGGGGAGGCGGGAGCAGGGGGGTTCCGCTGGGTCCCCGAGCCCGACAGATTCACTCGGGCGCCGCGGGACCAGCTCCCCAGTTCCTAGCCTCGACCTTCATCTCCCTCCCGACTCTTCCCCTGGGAAAATGTGGCTCGAACCTGGTGGAGTTGGAGGCGGGGACCGGAAAGGCCCCCGAGCTTGTGGTTTCATTGCGATTCCCAGCTCTCAAAGCCACTCACCCTGCCACCCCCACCCCACCATCCCCGCCCCCAGGCTGGGTTCTTGATCCCCCTCCTCCCCGCGTTGTGTCCTTCTGACCCTTACCGGTCTAGTCAGTCAGAGACTGGCAGGTACCCAGCGTGTGTCCTGCTCTGGGTGCTGACATCCAGGTTCTTGCTCCTCCACCCCTGGAGGACGGAATAGAGGGTGGTCACTCTCGCCGTTCACTGCGGCAGGGAACAGCAGGCCAAGCTAGCGCCAAGCAAAGCTGGTCCCCTGCCAAAGCATGACCTCCACTCCTCTAAAACTGCAGTCCCTCTCTGTGAGCTCCCAGCATTTGCCAGGCTTGAGGGCGCAGTTTCTCTTGTATTTATTCTCAAACATTCCTCACCAACATGCTTTTATCAGTAGGTAACATCCCAGTGTGGCAAGAGCTTTGCCTAAATACTCAAGTTAATTCTATGAAGTAGGTTTTGTTTCCCCCATTTTACAGATGAGATTACTGAGGTTGAGAAAGATGAGTAACTCCTCGTACTTCAACGCAAAATGTGGAATACAAAGGCTGAGTCACTAGGTAGGCAGCTACGGAAAAGCTCAGCAGAGGGCTCACAGTCCAGGGGGGGAGCCAAAGACAAATCGCTCTGTGTTCTAAGTCAAGGAAGGTGTCTGGGAGGGCTGAGCAGGCCAGCCAGTCTTTAGAGAGGTCAGCAGAGCAATTGTACGGCTTGAGGAGAGAGTCCAGAGACCTGACAGAACCCCACAGGCTGGAAGAATGGGGTCAGAAGATGTCGGGAGAGGTTAAGACAAGGTCTGTAGCTGCAAGATGTCCGCCAGTGCAGGCGCCTACTGCTAAGTTTGAGGACCTGGGTTTGGCCCCTGGGATTGGAAGGGGAGAACTCCCACACATCTTCTGACCTCATGCTGTGGCTTGTAAGCCTTCTTGACTGCTTCCTGCTCCCCTAAGAGTCTCAAAGACCCTGCTCTAGTTCTTCCCTTGATGTGGCAAATACCCGACAAAAGTGGCTTATTTTGGCTGTGGCTTATTTTGGCTGTGGTTTATGGAGACAGTCTCTTGTGACCAGAAGGCAAAGTGGCATGAATGAGAGGTGGCTGGTACTATGTGGGCCACCAGGAAGCAGAGGTTAAGGATAGGTAAAGCTCACTTTTCCCCTTTGCCTTTTTATCTAGTGCAGGGATGGTGCCGCCTACATTCAGGTGAGCTCCCCCTTCAGTTAAACTTCTCTGGAAACACCCTCAAAGGCACACCCAGGGATGTGTTTCCTGGGTGATTTCAAATCCAGTGAAGTTGACAATGAAAATTAACTATCACTGACCCAAACCACAGGAGGTCTTCTCAGTTCTGTACTGGAGAGCGGGGCATCACAGTCAGGCATTAAATGCCTCTAGGGTGGCGAGGAGAAACTGGTTTGTGTCTATCTGCCAAGGGTTTTCTGGTTGGGATTTCATCCGCCTCCCAAGCTTTCTGTTGGGCTCCAGCTACCTCACAGTCCCTTTCCCTTCTCCATTTGGGCTCTGTATTTTGGGCATTTTCCCAACTGCTGTCCCCATCTCTGCTGGGCAGAAAGAGCAGTGGTCATAAGCCTGGCTTCCCAGTCAGACAGCTCTGTATTTGATCCCAGCCCTGCCCTGTACCGTGGGATCAAGGTGAGAAGAAATCCATATCTATGAAATTGTTCCTTCCCCCACTGTTGCAGAGCCAAGGTGTGTGACCTCTTACACAATGCATGGTATGGAGTCCCAGTGTGGTCTTATCTTTTAGGATGAACACCACTGGGGGACAGCATTTCCACTTATTCTAGGTGGGCTCCTAGGGTTAGGATGTGGGTTTGAGAAGGGCTGAGGTAGTACCTGGAACAAGATTAGGACTGGGAAGGTCAGGACCCCTCTCTTAGAGCAGTATTTTGGGGCTGGGTGGGAATCAGATGTGACTGAGCCCAAGGGATTCCAGTAGAATCACTGATATCCTCTTAGCTTGATTAAATCACACAGGATACTTTCCTGCTGCATCTCAAAAATCCTCCATCCCCATCTTGCCTGAGGATTGAAGCTTTCTGTTATTCCCCCAGGACACAGGTCCATTTTAGCTTAAGTGGGACTAGAAATAAGAAATCCAGCAAGGCTCTTTCCTACAGATTATGGGACCTCATACTATCCCTCAGTGGAATGTCATTTAAAGCATTGCTTATTATTATTATTATTATTTGTTATTAATTTTTGGTTTTTCAAGACAGGGTTTTTCTGTATTGTTTTGGAGGCTGTCCTGGAACTTGCTCTTGTAGACCAGGCTGGCCTCGAACTCACAGAGATCTGCCTGCCTCTGCCTCCCGAGTGCTGGGATTAAAGGTGTGTGCCACCAACACCCAGCTGCTTGTTTTCTATTTAAGAAACAGTGGTAGTTAGATCTTTGTAAAATAGTGCATTTTCCCTGAATTGAAACTAATTCATTTAGCTTTGCTGAAAGCCTATTTGGACCTGTTTGCTCTTCTGTGTAACTAGGATTATCTTGTTGGGAAAGCTCAAGGGGTTTGGTCCTTGGATAGGTTTGGCTTTGTGGATCTTGTGGCTGTGGTTCAGCTGAAGATACCTGGTGGCTGAGGGGCAATCTCACAAATGCAGGTTCTAGGTGAGCAAGCGCCCTCTGTAGCATCTGAAGCCAGAGCATGGAAGGGGCAAAGGTCACACCCATCCCTGTCCCATCAGAGCCGAGGACTCCCACTGAGATGTCAGAGGCCTGCTGTGTGTTGGAAGGAGAGTCAACTAACCCTGAAATTCACCCTTCATCTTCTATATCAACAGGTACTTTCTCAGTTAAGGTGTTGGGGTTCAGCCTGAGATCCCAGAAATGGCAGTGTTGTTCCCAAATAAATGCTCCCAAGCCACTTCTCCAACCAAGAATCTAAGTCTGATCAAACCCCAACCTTGTCTGGTTGGCAGCTATCGAGCATGGCAGGGCAAAAGCTAAATGAGAAATTGAGAAGGCATGAAACTTTTCAAGAAACATCCTTGCTGCTAATACCATGTCTGGGGGTTGGCTAGGATTCTAGGATTAGTGTTCAGGAGATAGAAATGGGTAACAACGGGGGAGGTGTGATCTTTCCCAAGTGCCATACCAGCTATTAAAATATACCGGCTCTTGCTTCTAAGAGCTGAGGGTGGCAGGGAAAAATCAGGGTCCAAGCAAGACCGGAAGTACTAACGCATGCAGTGGGAGGAGGAAGGCCCAGACCGGAGAGTCCACAGAAACAACGCACCCAGCACCCATTCCAGGGGCAGAGAACAGTGTAATCTGGGGTTTAAATTGGACGAGTGGGTGGGGGATGGTCAGCTGCTCTTGAGCATATGGTCATCCTCAGGGCTCAGCAAAGCCGGATATAGTGAGTAGGAGGGAGAACCTTTTATGGAGTCAAAGAGGAAACTGCCATGCAGTCAGATGTGGTGCCATATCTCCCCTGAAAAGCAGGTGATGCTGAATTCTGAGGGGCAGGGGAACAGGATAAACAAGTATTATAGGCACCGAGAGCTTTATCTACCACAGCAACCCGAGCACTCCTGTAGATGAGAGCAGATGAACAGGCACAAGTCTGGTTCCATATTAACCTTAGGTATTAAATTTTTAAAGATTTAGTGTGTCTTTGTATGTGTGGGATACAGGCATGCTACCGTGTGTGTGTGTGTGTGTGTGTGTGTGTGTGTGTGTGTGTGTGTGTGTGTGTGTAGGTCAGTGGGCAACTTCTGGGAGTTGGTTCTCTCCTCCCCACATGTGGGTTCCAGGGATGTGACTCAGACAGCCAGGTGCCCTTTACCACTGGGTCATCTCACCTTCCCCTTGACTCACTCATTGAAAGCTCTGCAGGTCACCTGCACCTGAGCTGAGTCCCTCTGGGGGGCTTTGCGTGACCTTATCCCAGATAGATCTTAAGACTAGTCTTCAGTAGCGTGACCTGTTCTTTCCCAGGGATCCCCTAGAGCTTGGAAGCCCAGCAGAGGGCCCTAGTTGCCAAAGGCAGTGCATTGTCTCAACACCAACACCAAAAGCAACTGCTCTGGGTGACTAAGTGATGAAAACTCATCACTGACTATGCTTGTGAGATTGGGGACTTGCCAGGGGCAATACAAAATGGTTCTGGACTTCGTGGGCTGATCTCTTCAAAGCAGCAGCTATCCCATTTGCTTGGGAACATGTGGACACCGGGTGCAAGTGGCTTTTGCACCTAGTAATGAGAGAGACATCCTGGGTAACAGGTGCTGGGCATCGGCTCCGATATGTTCCTGCCCTTGGCTATGCAACCCAGGGGACAAGGCCACTGCCATTCTACCAGTGTCCTGGGAACAGCTGCTAGAGACTGGTTCCCCCTGTACACACCTTCCTGAAGTTGTGGTGACTTGAGACTTGAACAACAGGTGATTTCCTGAGATAAAGTTTTTTTCTTAATCCTAATTTCATCTGGGAGGGCTGGGGCAATTAACAACAACAACAACAACAAAACAAGTTACTAATGTCCCTTCTCGGGCCAGCTATGTTTTGTCCTGGGGTGCCAGTCCTGAGAACACAGTATACACAACAAACTTTGTGTAAATGAGTTTATTGATGAATACACAAGGTCAAGTGTCCCCCCCCAAAAAAGAACAAATCCCAACAAGAACAGAAGAATAAGCATTCTCAGGGCAACCTTTCCCCTCACACATCTGGCTCCAGCATCCCAAGCTTCACAACACAGACACATGGACCAGTCTTGGCTGAGGACAGACACTCAGGGAATCTGACCCCAAAGAGGTCTGCCCTCTGTACTCAAGCTCCCATCAGAGACATACTTAGGCCAAGGAGAATGGGGACAGGGGAACCTGACCCCAAAGAGGTCTGCCCTCTGTACTCAAGCTCCCATCAGAGACATACTTAGGCCAAGGAGAATGGGGACAGGGGAACCTGACCCCAGCTGTCCCAAACTGGTTAAGCTCGAAAGGGGTCTGAAGGGAAGTTGTGGCAGGGGCAATAGATTGCCTCTTCAGGAGAGGCCCTTTCATGTGAAGGAGTGTCACTCCCTAGCTCTGCCTGGGGTGAAGAGAGAGATGGCTTCCCCACAGGTCAGACATCACTGATCAGTTAAGTTAGGCCAGCAGAGAACAACATTGTTATCTGCCGCTGGTGGAGAGGCTGAGGGGCCTCAGTTTCAGGGGTGAACTCATCCTGGAACAAAATTGTTCTCCCTGATTGCCCTGACACATACTCTTCTTTTGGGAATTACAGCTTGCTTTGAGACGAGAAAATTGTGTTTGTAGTGTGAACCCCTTATACCACTCATATTCAACTGACTCCATGAATGAGTCTCAACAAGAGAACTTTGTCAACTTGCTTTTCCACCCAACATATCACCAACCTACCTGCCTCCCACACAACCCTGCAGATTTCCTACTCCCCACATGGTGAGGGAGAGATGTATTTCCTTTCCACCAGTCAGCAATCCTCTTAAAGAGTCTCAAGGCTTATGGAACTTGAGAGAAGCTTTGCAACTGGGAGGAAACAGTATCATTCCAGATACGTGGCTGAAGGAAGCTGGTCTCTACTCTGATTTTCCACAACCTCTCCTCAGGGTTCAGTGGGTTAGGGCTGAGTCCAGCATGAGGTCTCTGGATCCTGGCATGCTGTTGACTTGAGAGGGGGACTCTGAATGGACCCGGAATACCAGGGGCCAGGCTGTGCCACATCTCAAACATTGTGAACAGGACTTGGCAGGGTAGTGGGCAAGAGGCATTCTTTGATGATTTCATATCCCCAGCCCTCTGAGAGATGACAAGAACTACATGGCTTTCTGAGATGATCTTGCTTTGCTTTGGAGCTTGAGTACCATGGATGAAGAACAGATCAGAGAGCTGAGGGACAATCAGAGCTGGCAGTATCTCTACACTCACTGGCTGGTCTCCAGCACTATGGTCCTAGGAGAGAGAGCCTGGCAAATGTTAGCTCCATTTCACTCTTGTCACTGGATGTACATTCAGGTAACTGAGAAGGTGTCAGCTGCCACCTGACACCAGTGAATGGGGGAGCACCAACCTCAATATGGAGTATGCAAAGAGCCACAGCAGTACAGGAAATGCAGAGGGCTCTGAGGAAAAGAGCAATGAGCCAGCCATATATATGGAAGCTGATGAAGCTTCAGGGAATGAGCCTTAGCTCTGTTACTCGAGAGCCCAGAGCCCCAGCAATAGCAAACTTTTTGCCTGTTACCTTTCTTTGTAGAAAAACAAGGTTGGATAAGCCATTAAGGACTTTTGATGTGACTTGGCCCTGAGAAACAGAGGAGGAGGCTGGGGTGTGTGTGGGGGGCACTATGATTCTCACTCACCTCTCCTCAGCTTCCTCAGTCAGTATGATTACTCAGGTGGTACAGTAGAAAGGACAGAGCTCTACCATCTCTCAGCTCTGTGCCTACACGCCGTGTCCCTGTACTCTGAAACATCAATGAGGACCACTACCGCCAAGCATGGAGTCATCAAAAATGAGAGAGCATGGGACATAAGGGAGCTTGAGGGCTTGGCCAAGGAACGAACTTGGATGGGGGGGGGGGGGTGAAAATGCAAATGACCAGGAGCAAGGTTGCCACAGACAAGAGAAGCCCCCTACCCTCCCCAAGAAGGGGCCAGGGGCTGCTCCTGTCTGCATCTCCTCTAAGACTGTTTGATGATGGTCAGTTAATCCTTTTACTCACTGTTCTACCTCAATTTCTCATCTGTACAAAAATATAAAACAATAAGGTGCAGTTTATGTTTCAGTGACACTTTTCCTACTTTAATTAATCTGTTGCCTTTTTCTGCTTGTGAAATGAGCTTTTGATTACAAAATATCAAACTACACTCAGAAGAGGGTGTAGAAAAAGTCAGCCATTGGCACAGCATGGAGAAGCTCACAAGGAAGGACTGAGAGCAGCAGCAGGTGGCAGAGGTGGGGATTGATGGAAGCAGCAGTTACGCATGTCACAGGAAGCTAACCTATCCAACGGGGTGAATGCTAATGTCAGCACAGGGCAACTGGTCACTACCGGGGTGGGCGGCGCAACTGGTCACTACCGGGGTGGGCGGCGCAGTGTTTGGGTTCAGGCTCTACACAGCAGTACGACTTCTTTCAGTTAAGAGTTCTTGGCTTGCACCGATTACAGGGTGGTTTTGAGGGTACAAGACCCATTTATTAGTTTTTCAAAATGCTGTCGTAGACCTGATAGATGTACTGAGAGACTTCAGGGGCTCTACACTTCAGCGACAGCTGTGAAAAGGAGGAGAAAATAGATTAGCATGGACATGCATTGGTTGTAAATGCATTCAAGCATTCAGGTCAAGACAGTTTCTGACATTCTGAGACACTCTGCGACTGGAAGGGCCAAACAGAGAGCTCATGTTAATACAAACCATGGATTTCACAACTTCAGCTTTGCTGGTGTCCAGCTGTGCTGTGTCTCCCTATGGCCCACATGGTCTCAGGGGGCCACTGCTGGGGTTCTGCAGAGGTCAGTACTGAGGAAACCCCTTAAAATTTGGTGACAGTCCTTTGAGCTGCTGATCTCATATCCTCTGTCTGATATGGATCTCAGTTCCAATTTCAGGAGGACACGGTCATGTTAAGTAAAGGTCCACAGGGCTGGTCCTTTCTGTACCACTGAGGAATGTATAGACACTAATAGGGGAAGGCAGGACACAAAAGGCACATATAACTAGACAGCAGCTCCTGTCAGCTGCTTCGAGGCATTTTCTCCCTCTTTAGACAGAGGAATCAGACATTCTGGTAACATTTTATTCCTCCACCACCATCTCTTAGTTCAACAATTATCAAATTAAACATCAATATTAAGATTCTCATGATAAAGGACGAAAATTAAGCCCAAATTTGAACTCTTTAACTGTATTAGGGTTAAGCAAAAATGTTATCAATAATACCAGCAAAGCATGCAAAATATATTCTATACATAAAATAAGTTATCCTCCACAGTGTACTGCTATGAGATTTTACATTATTTTACCTCTTTACTCTTTTTGTAGAGATCCTGGATGATTTACCATAATACTCAACATGAAAATACTTTGGGAAAAAAAGTACAAAAACATTCTGGCCAATTCTGAATTTCCTGAAACATTAACATCCTAAAAACTTAAAGTGAGCTAGGTGGCAGCTCATGACTGACTTGGGAGGCTGAGGTGGGAGGACTGCTGTGAGTTTGAAGCCAGCCTCGGCTACATAGCGAGTTCCAGGCCAGCCTGGGCTACAGAGTGAGTCACTATCTCATAAAAAACAAAACACAGAGCTGGGGAAATGGCTCAGTAGGTAAAATGGTTGCCATATAAGCACGAGCACATGATCCCTAGAACCAATGTAAAAAGCTGGACACGATGATAGACGTCTGTGATCCCAGTGTTGGGGGAAGTGGGAACGCCAGGGTACTCGTGGTGTGGTGGTCAGGCACTCCAGTCAAAATGGTGAGCTCAGAGAGAAACAGTGTCTAAAACTAAGGTGGAAAGTAACTCAAGAAGACACTGCTTCCAACCTCTGGCTACCGAATGTACACATGCACACACACATGAACACACTTGCACACACACAAATGTGTATACATACACATAAAATAAAAGCCATTTTAGGAAACATTTATTTATATGTGTGCACTTATGCTTGGAGACCAGAAGGTAACTTGTAGGGAATTGGTTTACTCTTCCACCACGTGGGTCTCATGGATTGGGATCCAGTTAGGACTGGATTAGTGCATCCCTGTAGAGCTATCTCACTGGTCTTTTACAGACTCCAGGACATTTGCAAAATTGCTAGTCTAGTTCAGTCATGAAGAAAATTCGGACAAATGTAAACAAAACAAAGCAACCTACTACTAATGTAAAAATATAGATAGGGTACAAGTTGTAGCTTTAGATCTGCGCCCCCCCCACCGAATTTATCTGAGAATCTCGTCTACAACCCTTATTGCCTTTTTTGTTTTTGATTGTGTGCTGACGTTCATGTTAGTGTGTGCAGGTATGGACATAGTTAGGGTCATGGGCTGACACTAGTTGTCCTCATCAGTTTCCACTTTATTTTTGAGACAAGGTTTCTTCCCTGATCCTGGAGCTCACCCATTTGCCTGGAATGGCAGGACCCTCCTGTCTCTGCTTCCTCAGCACTGAGATCAATGTAAGCTGCCATACCCAACTTTTTTTCTTTAAGTTAAAAAAGGTTTTATTTATTTTTGAAATTTTATGTGTATGAGTGTTTTGCTTACATGTATGTATGTGACCATGTGTGTGCCTAGTGCCACCAGAGGCCAAAACAGTGTCAGAGTCCCTGGAACTGGAGTTACAGATGACTATGAACCACCATGTGGCTGTTGGGAACTAGACCAGGATACTCTTGCAAACTCAGCAAGTGATCTTACCCACTGACCCAGCCCTCCATCCCCCAGGCCCAGATTGTTATGTGGGTACTGGTGACCTGAATGAAGTCTTCCTCATGATTGTGCAGCAACCAGTTTACTGACTGACTCAGTACCTCTTGTACCTCTTCCCCTATAACCTCTCCACTGTCAATGTGGAAAATTCTACTGGGAGAATATATTCTTCAAGAGAGAGAGAGAGAAGCAAGGAGACACAGTTGAGGGGAGTTAGTCCCAGGCTCAAGAGGGTGGGTACCTTTCTGCCAATATGGTGCTCTCTTTGTCCCACCCCTTCCCTTAGCAAAGGTGAAGTTCGTTCAACGTAGCAAGAACCCTAGGTTTCATTTTTGTATAGCTCCTAGGAGAAAAGAAACCTTTCCCAGGTTTTAGTTTTTGAATACTATCATGCTTATGTGATATGTCTTCTATACCAACCAGGAATACTGCCCACCCAGATCTACCAAGAAGAGTCATTTGTCATACTTAACTAAGTCAGGGAGACTCACTTGTGTAGGGACGTGGCCTTACCTTTATAGGATATAAACAGTTTTCCTCCCTCTCCTTCCTTTCCCAAGCAGGTTAGATTGACACTTAAAGCAATCCTCCTGCCTCTGCCTCTCAAGCGCTGAGATCACAAGGAGCGTACCTCCCACATGGCCTAAATACTCCTTTATGAAATGTAATGATCAGCCTGGGGGAAGTACATTATCAACTCCTCTTATGAGACTAGGAGTCTCTGAGTCTTTCATATACTGGTACTGGTTCAACCAAATACTTTTCCTCCTTAATGCTGAGTTGAGGCCCTATCAACAGTATAATGGGTATACAGGATGAAGGGCAGGGAATGGATCTGATTCTCAAATCTGTAGTGCCACTTTAGAGAATGGATTAGACCCATGCCAAGTGCTTCCAGTGATTGAAATGGTGCTGTAGACATAGGAAACATAGTCACCAGGAGAACTGGGATTAGGAAAGGGTGCACGGAAGGAAATGCATTTATTATTTAAAACTACAGAGGAAGCTCTTTCATTTTACCCCAGGACCTGGGAGGCTGAGACAGAAGGAGTTCTGTGAGTCCCAGGATAGCCTGGGCTATGTAATATGCTTGAGGCCAACTTAGGCTACAAGATTGAGACACTGCCTAGAATAAATCTGGGCATTAGCTGGGTGGTGGCGCACACCTTTAATCCCAGCACTTGGGAGGCAGAGGCAGGCGGATCTCTGTGAGTTTGAGACCAACCTGGTCTACAAGAGCTAGTTCCAGGACACTAAGAAATAAATGTATAGGTTCTTACCTTCTTACTCTAATCTATTCACACATTCTGGGAAAGGCCTTACCGTATAATTGGGGTTTCCTGGTTGGATCCGTAGCTCAGCCAAAATCCAAATGCCATTGGTGAGCTTCAGGGACTGGTACAGCATGTCTTGGCCTTCCACATTTCTCTTGGCAATAGTGTAGACATTGTTGTTCTGCAGCTTGCTGGAAACTGTGTCTAGAAATAGAGATCCAAAACTTAGAGACTTGTGTTAAAATCTCAGACACATGTATTTCCTTCTCTGACATTCTTGTGAGCCATCACATATGCCTGCGTTCCCTGATGAATTCTATCACATACACATTTTAGGAGGCTCTTCTAAGGCAGGCAGGCAAAACGAGGGCCTGTCTGTCATATTATTAGACAGAAAACAGGATAAAGTGCATTAACATTGGTTTAAGAGTTACCTAAGGAGAGAACTCAATAGATAGGCCTTAGGGTTTACTAAGACAAACTGAGTACTCATAGCAATTGCTCTTCTCGTGGCTGTGACAACACTCCCTGGCTAAAGCAAAGTAAGAAAGGAAGAGTTTGTTTAGGCTCACAGTACATCATGGTGGGGAGTCAGGGCAGCAGGAACTTGTGGCAGCTGACCAACACTGCATCCTCCCTCAGCAAAAGATGAATGAATGCTAGTGTTCTCTTGCTTTCCCTTTTCATTCAGCCCAGGACTCAATCCCAAGGAATGGTGCCAGAGTTAAGGTGGATCTTCCCACTTTAATTAGTCAATCCAGATAATCCCATACAGGCAAGCCCAGAGGCTAACCTCATTAGGTAATTGCTCACAGGTGTGTCTGGAGGCTTGCCTCCTAGGTGAGGCTAGACACATCAAGTATCACAATGGTAGACAGGTACAGGGCTCTGAGTGTGTGGGAGTCCTCACAGACACTGCTGTGTGGGAGTCCTCACAGACACTGCTGTGTGGGAATTACTGCTCAGAAGTACACTTCCCAGGTCACTCTGAGCTTCTTGGGCCTCGGTTTCTCTTTTCAAGTCAGATTTATTAAACTGGATACTTTTATTTTAGGCAGGCAAATTAATTCTGTAGATGCTAGAGAAAATCATGGGTTCAAAGAAACAAGGAAACAAAGTGTTTTAATAAAAGACACTGAGGAGGACTAAATCTGTGTAAAATGACTGCTGTTAGGTCCTCAAATCCCAGGTGCAACAAGGGCCATGCCTCTGCACTCACTAGCTCAGGGCAACAACAGGTTGGTGTTTGTTCTCATGACTACAGCGTCAGAGAGACACAATGCTCTAGAATTAAAGGTCATTTCTCCATGTGAGATATTGTAGTCAGAGATAGATAAATTTTTAAGAATAGATATGCCAGGTGTCAGCACTCCAGAGGCGGAGGCGGAGGCCAGGCTGGTCTGGGGGGGGCACAGAGGGAGAGGGGGAGAGAATAAACATGGCTTCTTTGTTAGCTGCTTATTATGTTAGCTTCAGATGAGAACTCAAATTACTCAGCCTAGTTCAGGAACTAAACTCTCTCACAAAAAGGTCTGCTATATTCCTGTGGTGTCTCTAGGAAAAGGAAGCATGGTGGCCTTCTACTCCAGGGAATGAGAAGATCTCAGCATCCGGACACAACAGGTACTCATTACCAGTACATGTAAATACTTATTTGGATTTTGTATTGACTCAGGTGGTAGAGATGCCACACGGTTAAAGCATCTGCTTAGGTGGAAGCTGCTTCTAGATGTCAAGTAGCACCATGGACAGCAGCACTAAGGCCTCATTCATTAGAAATTTTATCAGTTATTATTTAACTGCTGTTTATTTATAAAGTTTTCACTAATATCAAAGAAAAGCAGTAACAACTTAAGAAGTGGTTTAGGGGCTGCAAAGAAGGCTCAGTAGCGAAGAACACTGGCTGCTCTGCCAGATGACCTGGATTCCCCCCAGTTCAAACCTGTCTATGACAGTTGTTTTCAACCTATGTAATGTTGCCCTCTTTTATACAGTAGTGACCCCCTACCATAAAATCTCCTTCCTCCCTCCCTGTCCTCCTCTCCCCCTCCCTTTCCCTCTTGGTTTGAGACAGGGTTTCTTTGTGTAGCCCCATCTGCCCTGAACCAGCTCTGTAGACCAGGCTAGCCTCTAACTCAGAGATCTGCCTGCTTCTGCCTCCCAAGTGTTGGGATTAAAGGCATGTGCCAACACCACCCTGCCATTTATTTTGTTGCTACATCATAATTATAATTTTGATACTGTACTGTTATGAGTTTTAATATAAATATCTGATGTGTAGGATATATAATATGCCACCCCTGTGAAAAGGTCATTTGACTCCCAAAGGGGTGGTGGCCCACATGTTGAGAACTGCTGGTCTAGGAAATCTGATGCCCTCTTCTGGTCTCTGAGGTCACCAGGCATGCATGTGGTGCACGGACTTACATGCAGGCAAAACACCCACATCCATAAAATAAGTAAGGAGGGAGGGAGGGGCTTTATCCCAGACAAAAGTTCTATGTAATACTGATGGAGGAGGGAGCCTCAATAAACACTGCAATCATCTCGTAGTCGGGGAGACAGCTCTTGCTGTCACTCTGGTTCCTACAGTGAAGTTCTTGCAACTTGATGGGTTGCTAAGCAACATTTCCAGCTGGAGTTTGGCTAATGCTTTTTGAAAGGACTGTCTTTAAAATACAGAGACTTACTTTAAGTTGTAAAAGCTTTCCCTAACTTTCAAGGTGCCTGCCTATTTTCCAGAAAGGCAGATGTTTTGTTGAATAGTCTTGTTGCATAGGTCTACATTCTTTTTATCCATGTATCGAGGCCCAGATGCCTGTAGACGGCTTTTTGTGATCTCACCATGTGTGAAACAGATGACAGAGAAGGAACGGGTCTCTGCTCATGCTAAATGGATGGATACACTGTGACTTCTATTGGAAGGCTGAATGGAAGGAAGGTTCTATAATAAAGTACTTATGAGTCAACTTTTATTTTTTTGTTTATTTAAACCATATTGTTAATATTTAAGGTATTTGTTTGGTTTTTTTTTTGGAGGGGCGGTGTTCATTATATACCCTGTGTAAACCAGGCTGGCTTCCAGCTTGCAGTGATCTGTCCCCACCTCCCTAATGCTGGGATTACAGATACAAGTTACCACATCCACCTATTTTTAAATTTAATTTTGCAGTGTGACACACTGAACCCAGGGACTTGCATGTATCAGACAAGGACCTAACACTGAAGTTTTAGGTTTGAGCTTGAGGATTTAAGGACTGAAGGATACTTATAACTCTGCTAAGTTTACCAGAGGTGGCAAATGCTATGATGCACACCTCAACCTCTACCCAGGAGGCTGAGGCAGGAAAAGATGTAGTGAGAGCCAGTTGTCAGGCAGCTTCCAGTCACACTGGAATAGACTTCTTAAAATATCACACTTTATTTTCTGTACTTCAACTATTGGCATAAAGAACAGAACCTGGACGTTATGAGATTGTGAGAATGAGGGGATACTGAGATCTATCCCAAAGTAGGATACTGGTCATATATGATTGTACTTGCTTCAAGCTGTCATTTCTTCTCATCCATTTTCTTTGTGGATCTGGGTGTTTGGGCTCTTGAAAGATGTGGGTGTGGTTTTCCTTTTCTCAGCTTTCTTCTTTAGTTAATGTCACAATGTTGTCAACAATAAGAGTAAAGAAGGAATACAAAATGGATGGTGGAAACCTGCATTTGGTCCCTTTTGAGGCATTGATTAGCAAGTTCAAAACTGCTCATGTGAAAAGGACATTGCAGAAAAAGACTGCTGAAAATGACTGGAAAAATCATTTTGGGGAAAAAAAACCCTATAGTAAAGTGCCAACTAGAAGTTTCCATTCTTGAAATGTTGTAAAGCATGGGAAAGCCACAATAAAACAGAAATCTAACTCATTCTCACTTAGTGCCCATGCCTAAAGAAATAGCTCTTTCTACACAGTGCCAGACAAGTGAAGACACAGACCAGGTGTTTGAGCTTTCTTGAGTATAGTAAACAAACAACAGGCTTGCTTGCAAAACTGCTTGCCACAAGTACCCCTTTTAGATATGGATGGAAATGCATCTACCTCTTGTGTACTTAAGTGTAGGCGTGAGCCCACAATGGGCGTCGACAGTATTGTGGGCTCACCCCTACACTTAAGGCAATGTTTCAAGATATGTAACAACCCCAAAGATAGGTAAAAAGTAAAATATGGCTGGGCAGAGGTGGCACATGCCTTTAATCCTAGCACTCAGGAGGCAGAGGCAGGCGGATCTCTGAGTTTGAGGCCAACCTGGTCTACAGATAGTGAGATCCTGTCTTAAAATAAAATTAATAAAATTAAAAAAAAAAAGAAAGAAAGAAAAGAGAAAAAAGAAAAGGAAAAAGAAAAAAAGACACCTGTAGAAATGTTTGTGGTTGGGAAATAGGAGGCTTGTCCGTTGGTGCCTTTTTAACCTAAATTTTTCTAGTATTTACCACAAATAGCAATACCATCACCACCCACACCACAGACATCTTTATTAAGGTCTGATTAAGACTTGCAGAGGGTTTCTTTCTTCTCTGGAAATGGATCAGGAATAGCAAAGCTCACTGCTAAGTTGGTGAGTCCGTCAAGGCTGTGACTTCCTGTGGCCTAGAGTGTTCTTTCCATCTGTCACATGTCTTCGCCAGCACAGAAGGTCTATTTTAAGTGTTGGTGCTATTGTCATTAGGGAAGATCAGCTGGAAAGGATGGTATTTTTAGCTCTGAGCTAGACACAGGGTGTTGAATCAGAAGGCACCAAACCTAAAGGCTCCTGTTAATAGAGTCCTCACGACTGGGAGGAAATGTAAAGGCCAAGGCATTCCATACCTCAGGAGAGATTAGCTGAAGAGAGTGGTCTTGCAAGATTGGCAGTGATTCAGCATGGGAAATGGCCTTGGGCAGCTGAAGACAAACTGACTGCTTTTCTTTATGCTCCATGTGCCCACTGCTACAATGCATGCCACCAGGAAACCGGTCAACAGCATTTGGAACACATACACAGGAGGAACTGGCGTGAGGCCAAGCTGTGAGGACTACATCGGAGGAAACAGCCTCCCTGAGAGAAGGGCCACACTTCGGTGCAGTATGTATTCTTTTCTTTCTAGTATTTTGGCAGGACAGACTATTTCTCCGTGCAAGTACATGTTTTTCACACAGGACCCCTCAAACCAAAACTGCTTCCCAATTGCTCTAGTTATTTCCCACTCTCCGTAGGGAAGGAACAGTGGTGTTCCACCAGATGTTAGAAGCAAGCACTTGTGATCTGTGGTTCTGCAAGCAAATATATTTGCTTACCACTGGGTCAGATAGGTTTTTCTAATGTAGGACTTATCAGAGCTTTCAGTGGGTGAATACACAGGCATGCCATATGCTGCATTTCCTAACTTTAATCACTACAGGGAAACTTCCCTACCTTTTATTAACAGACAGGTGTTCCCAGGTATACACTGTTGGACCAGCTACCACAGGATGGTGGTTAACCCAGAGTCAAGTCTGTGGTACAGAGTGTAGAGGCTGGTTTTCAATGGGGCACACTCTGGGTTTTGCCACCAGCACCATGGATTCTACAGCCAAGGTTTCCTACTTCCTGAGAAACAGTTCCTTCTGTGGAGAGCTGTGCTCACCAAATACGGTTCACTGTAACTGACCGGAGAACTTCAGCCAGCCACTTAAAAACCCACAAAAGGAAACCATGAAAGTCTCTCCTCACACAGTCTCCAGGGGCAGAGGAGATGTGAGGCAACCCTTTTCACAGCCAGCTCTGTCTGAAGTGTCTACGCTCAATGGGTGCCAGGCCGTCTTTTATGTCTGAAGCTTCAAGCAGGCATTTAGCCTCCAGAATGTCTTGGCGGCCCAACTGGATCAGCACATTTGAGAGCCAGCCCAGGAAGATGCTGATAATATTTGGATTTCAAAAGCCCTACATATAAAGATCTGTCTGAACACAGAAGACTAATACGATGCAGAAATCCAAAACCTTAAAATTAAAACCAGAAAGTTGGAACGATGAGGCAGTGGGAGCCTTTTTGTCTTTCTGTACTGCATACTGTCTCCTTTCTCAGCGCTCTGCTCTAACCGCAAGGGAGAATGGCAGTAAGTTGAAAGTCCTTAAGGAGGACCACCACGGTACAGAGGAGGAAGAGAGGGGTGCATGAGGAAAGTGCTGAGCAGGAGAAGGAAGGCTGCTACAAAAGCCAGCATTCTGAACAGCAAACATTCCAGTGAAACAAAGCCCCAGGATGGACAGTTGCTGTTGTCTCTCCTTTTGTATTACCTCTTTTTGTTTTTTACTAACCACAAAAGGGTTTAGGGATTAATGGTGTCTTAAAAGATTATTATTGTTGTATGAAAGAGAACAGTAAAGGTTACCAGCTAGGTTTTAATCAACTGTGATACAAGCTTTATTTATAAATAGAATTCTAAATACAGGCTCTCAGATCCTTTCCTCCAATGCTAAACATTGATCTGAGAGATGACATAGTTTTTCAATCCTGAGGAGGGTGGCTATCCTCAAGTACCACTTTACTGGATGCTGAGGATATTTAAGTAATATGATTGACATTTACTTCTGCTACTGAAGGACTAGTATAGCACATGTGCCAGTTATATGGTTCATGGTTTGTTTCTTTCAGATTTTTCTACATTTTGCAGTACTGAGAGCAAACCTAGGGTCTTCTAAAAGTTAGGGCTAGTTTCTATCTTTTATTTTTTATTTTTTAGTTTCTATCTTTTAAATCTTGTAACTTGTAGGTAACTTAGTGCCTTAAATCTTGGAATTCATAATATCCAGTGGTTTTCTTTTTTTGGTTTCTTTTGGGGGGGGTTGTTTGTTTGTTTGTTTGTTTGTTTGTTTGTTTTGAGAAAGAGAGAGAAGGTCTCACTATATAGTGCTGGCTGGTCTGGGACTCACTATGTACATCCAGGCTGGCTTTGAATTCCTGAGATCTACCAGTCTCTGACTCAAGTGGTGCTGGAATTAAAAACATGCACTGTTATGCCTGGGCGTATTGCTTATATGTGTGTGTGGTTTTTTTGTTTTGTTTTGTTTTTCGAGACGGGGTTTCTCTGTATTGTTTTGGAGGCTGTCCTGGAACTCACTCTGTAGACCAGGCTGGCCTTGAATTCACAGAGATTTGCTTGCCTCTGCCTCTGCCTCCCGAGTGCTGGGATTAAAGGTGTGAGCCACCAACGCCGTCATGTGTGTGTTTTTAAAAAGAGATAGGCTCATTAGATAACCCAGACTGACCTGGAATTTGTAATCCTCTTGCCTTAGCCTCCTGAGTTTTTGGGTTACAGGTGTGTGCCATCATGTCTGGATAACATGGCAAGTATTTAAGAGAGATTTGCAAAGTAATGTATTTAACATGTTATCCACCAGAATTATGCTAAATTCAGAAAGAAATGGGGACAGGAAAGTATAGTTTTAAACATTTAATTTGACTTACTAAGATGAAAATGAATCAAGAGTTATTACTTACCAGCATTTAAGTGACACTCCTTAATCTGAAACTGAAGTTCATTTTCATTGGGAATATCCTTCCATGTTGCAAGGAAGACCTGGCGTTCTGTATGGCGAAGGGGAGAAAAGTGGTATGTCAGTATTCTGTTTCCTGATGTTTCCACCAGCTTTCCTTTGACATGCTAGGAGCAGGCTAGGATCGGAGCAAAGTTTTTGATTTGCAATGGTGCTGTATAGTAGGCCCTTATTGACTCAACTAATAGACACTGGAAAAAAGTTGGCATGTAAGAGTTTAGTTTGGGCTCTTTGTGTTTCTATTTGGGTGACTTTGGGCACATCTTGTGATCTTTCTTTTTTCCAGACAGGGTTTCTCTGTGTAGTCCTGGCTGTCCTGGAACTCAGAGATCCACTTGCCTCTGTCTCTGAGTGCTGGAATTAAAAGGGTGCCCCACTACACTATACTGGGTTGGATGGCAGTTTCTTAAGTAAGGAAAGGGAAAAGCCAAAGCTACCTTGGGGTAGGACAGAAGACTAATGGTTTATTACAAATTACTGAATTCTTATCTTAGTTTGAACTCGGTGTCCAGCAGTGCTAAATTTACATGCTATCTCACTAATTCATTAAAAAAAAAAACAGACTTCCATTTTGCAAAGGTAGAAAACAAAACAAGAGGGGCCAAGCATCTTGCCCACAATCATACAGATAATAACTGGCAAAGACTGAGTTCACAGCTGTCCCTAACCCTCTCACCTGTGTGTGGGGTGGCTGGGTCAGTCAAGTAAGTGGCTCTGGGATTTGGGATTGCAGAGTAAAAACAGCGACTGACAAATGACCAATGACCAATTATTTATTGGTGCTTTAGAATATCTGTATTCTAGCGCTATGTTATGCCTACCATTCAGACGATGGCCAAAGGTATATTTAGCAGGACAGGAGGACACACTTACCCATTTTGCCATCTTCTACAAAAAGCACATTGAGTGGGATGAGGCAGCTGAAGTAGAAGACATCAATATTGTTTTTAACAGCCACCTGGCAGGAAAGCAAAACGGAAAAATGTGGACATCAATAAGGAGCCAGGTAGGAGGAGAACAGGTGTGTGACTAGAAATCTACTTCCTATTTCAGTCAGTGTAGGCCTCCCAATCAACACACACCAGCCCATCTATGCAAAGCACATCTGTTCTCACTCACTGACACCTAACTATGACCTTTCTTCAGGAAGACGGTCTATGGTATACCCTCTAGACCAGTGGTTCTCAACCTGTGGGTCACAACCCCTTCAGGGATCGAACAACCCTTTCACAGAGATTGCATATCAGATATTCTGCATATCAGATATTTACATTATGACTCATAACAGTAGCAAAACTACAGTTTTGAAATAGCAATAAAGTAATTTTATGGTGGGGGGTCACCACAACATGAGGAACTGTGGTAAAGGGTCACAACATTAGTGAGGCTGAGAATCATTCTAGACAAAGAATAATCCCTGAAGTTTTGTCTTTCCAACTTAAAACAAAATAAAACAAAAAACTAAAGTTCTGAGTGCGTGGGGCTAGAGAGATGGCTCAGAGGTTAAGAGCACTGACTGCTCTTCCGGGGATCCTGAGTTTAATTTCCAGCAACCACATGGTGGCTCACAACCATCTACAATTCAATCTGGTACCCTCTTCTGCCATGTAGGCAGAACACTGTATGTGTGATAAATAAATCTTAAAAAAAATTCTGAGTGCTTGTATGTGTACATGGATACTATGATGACTGTGCAGAGGTCAGAGGATGACTTCTGGGTACCATATTCAAAAACACTATCTACTTCCTTTGACACAGGGTCTTCCGTTGGCTGAGAGCTCCCCAGAAAATAAAACAAGCCAAAACAAAGCAAAATGAAACAAAAAGCCCACAAAAAACACCAGAGTTGTTTATATGTCCTAAGTACTCCTGTGTTTGGGTCTGCCCTAGAGTGTGGCTGACACACCCAATGACACTCCATTGAAGAAAACCAATTTTCCCTTGTAGACACCTCGTGGTTAGAATGGAACTCTGCACCCACTTTCTCCTGAGTGCTGGGACCCTATTTGGCTTGAACCTGTGCAGGTCTTGTCCATTATACTACAGTCTCTGTGAGTTCTTACATACATCAGTCCTGTGTGTCTGGAAAACATTGTTTCCTTGGACTCATCCATTACCTTCGGATCCCTGATCCTTTATTATTATCATTTTATTGTTGTTGTTTTCAAGACAGGATCTCTCTGTGTAGCTTTGAAGCCTCTCCTGGAACTTATTCTGTAGACCAGGCTGGCCTCGAACTCACAGAGATCTGGGATAGAGAGTGCTGGGATTAAAGCCCAGCTTGAATCCCTGGTCCTTGAGGGGAGGGGGATCCCATTTAAAACTGAGTGTTCTGAAGTATCTCACTCTACATATTGTCTAGTTGTGGGTTTCTGTGTTAATTCCCATCTATTCCAAGAAGCTTCTCTGATGTGGGCTGATTGAGGCACTGGCCCATCCATCCTCCCCCACTTTTCTACCTAAACTACACAGCTGTGTCTTCACCAAAACTGGGGCTAAGGGATTGAAGAAAGTCCTTTCTGAAACTGCAGTACTTACATTTCTTCGCAACTCATTGTTCTGAACTTAACTAGCACTGTGGCTTCCTCCTCCATCATTATCTGGGTCTGCCTCCTTGACACATCTCTCTGATCTCTCAGAATTCCTTCAATTGCTTTCTTGGTAAGCTGTGCTTCTAACCTTCCAATTCCCAAGCATAGACGTTCCTGACCTACACCACACAGCCTGATTCTCAGAGACTGAGCCTGGTAGGTTAAGCAGAGTAATTAATGTCAGCAAAGAGATGTGGTGTCGCTACGGTGCACTGAAGCACTACCTTCAGAGACTTAAAGTTGTGGGCCTCTGGGCTCACAATTTCAGAAAAGGAAACTCTTTCCTCAAATTAGGGCCTCAAGAAGACCTCACGACAGTCCCTGGCATTTACAAGTGAAACTGGGGAAGTGGAGACGGCTGATCACATGAGGGTTCCATGAATACTAATGACTATTATTACAATCATCTTTGAATATAAAGCAGTCAGATCTCACAATGTGCCAGTTTAAAGATTTATGGGTGTTCACCATACTCCAAGCACTTGCAGTAACACTAAAAATAGAGAAAATATAGTGCTTATCTCCCCAGGAGATAGGGATTCTTCACCAAAGGCTTCTATCAGAGCCACCTTGACAGGTTTTTCACAATGGACACGAGGGATCCACTTTATATGAGAATGACTACCTTTGCCTCTGGAAACGGCATCTAGAAAGACCACTAATTTACAGCAGCTCTCAAAGAAGGCTGTTTGAGTTCATAAACATTTGTCCTGAGATTGCTATTCCTATCACAGCCTGACAGCAACGTAAGGCCATGGATGTTCCTTGAGGTCGGCAGGCTAAACCAATTGCTTACTGTCTGGACCTCATAAACACATGAAAGCCAGGAGCCCTCTGTCCCTCTGACACACATCACAAGGCTCTCATCTTTCCGAAGACTGCCCCAAACGTCTGCCCTACACTAATTCTGTAAAGCAGATACTTTAATTAAAGGCAGCAGACAGTGCTGGCAGGGTCTGGGGAGTCAGAATAACAGATTTCAAATTCTAACCCTGACATCTGCTTGTTGTGTGACTTAGGGCAAACAGTATTTAGATTAATTTCCTGTCCACAAGAAGATCAGAAGCATATTCACAGGGCTGTCATAAATGAGCTCATATTTGTTAAGCACACAGAATGCTGTCTAGCTCAAGCACAATGGTGAATGCATGACAATAAAAACCACCTTCACTATCCCCATCTCCTGGTTTGATTTTTTATTGAGATTATTTTTATAATTAGGGCCAACCACATTGGATTATCCAAGATTTTATTATTACTACTATGCTACATTGGGATCAGAGTTTCAAAACGCGTACTGGCAAACTGTTTGCTCAAGCTAACCAAGACTCTACTGTGAATTGGTGAGAGGCCATCTTTTAGGAGCAACTGCACAGGTTTACTTGCTGGGAAAATGTTTTAATCTTTTTCATGTTAGCTTTCAAAAATCTGTATTTTGCAGTTTTCAAACTTACCGCTGGGTAGAAGTGCCTACATTTCAGGAATCGATGCTCCCACAGATTGTCTCTTGTCTACCTTTCTGGGCTATTTCCATCACCTCAGCCATATCCAAATTACCTCTTGTCCCCCAATATGGAAACTCACAGCTCTGCATTTTCCACACGCTGTTCTTGCTGCTTTGCTTTACTCATCTAACTGTAAGACTCAGTTCAGTCTTAAGTTTTCAGACAGTTCTAAGCCCTCTCACAGTGTCCAGTGTACACACGACTATTACAGTGCAGAATATGCTTATTTAATAGGCCACCGTCACAGTTAGCTGACAATGCAGGGGCATCTCGTTCAAACTGTCCAGTTCGATCAACACTTGTTGGGTGAAGTTAAGATGAGGTCATTACTCAAATGGACCAATACACTGGTTTGTTCACTTGTTTCCCTCCTTTACACTTCAAGTATATGTGTAACAAAACCATAGTAAAATCTCAGGAACGCAGACTCTCAATGAGGTCCAGGGTTGGGGGTGAGATGATGGTGGTGGCTATCAGTTTGAAATCAGAGACTAAATACTATCTAGCACTTTCAGGTAGCAGACTGCACCCTAAAGAATGCTAAATACCCCAGGAGATGGTAGCACACACCTTTAGTCCCAGCACTCGGGAGGCAGAGGCAGGCAGATCTCGGTGAGTCCAAGGTCAGCCTGGTCTACGAGCAAGTACCAGGACAGCCAGGGCTGTTCCACAGAGAAAGCCTGCCTTGAAAAAAACAAAACAAAACAAAACAAACAAACAAAAAAAAGAATGCTAGACACTAGCCAGGCATGCTGGTACACACCTTTAATCCCAGCACCTAGAAGGCAGAGGCAGAAAGATCTCTGAATCTGAGATCAGCCTGGTCTACAGAGTGAGTTCCAGGCCAGCCAAGTATATATAGTGAGCCCCTGTCGGAAAAAACAGAAACAAAAAAGCAAGGGGGACGCTCCACAGATGTGCCAACCATCTTGAGTAGGAAGAGAACCTGTTCCCCTCTCTGATAAAATCCCATGTATGGTGCTTCACCTGTATGCATGTCTGCACAGGTGAATGTCTGGCGCCTGCAGAAGTCAGAAGAGGGAGCTGGATTGCCTATAACTTGAGTTACAAATGGCTGTGAGTCACCATGTGGGTGCTGGGAACTGAACCCCGGGTCCTTTCCAAGAGCAACAAGTACTCTTAACTGCTGAGCCTTCTCCAAGATCCTATCTTCTCAGGTTTTTCCTCTCCCACTTCCTTTTCTTTAGGATGCTAGATGTTGAATCTAGGGCCTTCCAAATGCTAAGCAAGTACTCTAAGACTGAGCTACACCCGGGCCTTCATTGTTTTAAAGACAGAATCTTGTTGTGTGGCTCAGGCTGAGCCAGAACCCCTAGCCCCCCTACCTCTGACTTCTGGAGAGATAGGCAGAAACTATTACAATTTAAAAAACAAAAACGTTTTTATAAGATAGTGGGTCTAATTATGTAGCCCAGGCTAGCTATTACCTCTCATCTCTGCTTCCCAAGTGCTGGGATCACTATTTAAGCCCACCTTCTGGTATCATTGTTTTTAAGGATAATTTAAACCATTATGTAAGTGTGTCTGTGTGTGGTTTTGTGCACATTTATGTGGGTGCTCATGGTGGCCAGAGGCATTGATTCCCTAGAACTGGAGTTACAGGAGGTGAGCCACCTGACACGGGCTGGGAATCAAAATTGGGTCTTCTGGAAGAGCAGACTGCACTCTTCACCACGGAGCTCTCTCCAGCCCCGACTATTTCAAACTCAATAAATGAACAGAGAGAACTTTCAGCATCTTCCTATTTCTGCACTTGTCTCCCCTCATCTGCCTGCAACTCTCCTTCACAACATTTAGCCTCCCCAGTTTATTCTCAATGTGGTAGTCAGAGGATTTCACAA